CCAAAACAGCTCGGATGTGTTGAGGCATGGTCTCCGCAAGACCTCTGAACCTGTCCTGTATTACCTGGCACCAAGACATAACAGCAGATCCTTTAAGTCCTGCAAGTTGCAAGGTGGTGTCTCCATGGATTGGATTGTTGTTCCAACACATCCCACAGATGCTCCATCAGATTGAGATCTGGGGAATTTGGAGGCCAAGTCAACACCTCTTTGTCATCTTCCACAAACCATTATTGAACAATTTTTGCAGTGTGGCAGAGTGCACTATCTTGCTGAAAGAGGTCACTGTCATCAGGGAACACCATTGCCATGATGGTGTGTACATGGTCTGAAACAATCTCTAGGTAGGTGGTATGTGTCAAAGAAACATCCACGTGAATGCACTTCATGGAAGGTAACGCTTTGCTTACCTTCCAGTAAATATATATCTGGAAATACCCCCTTTTACATGAAACATATGATCTATTTCCCAGAAACTGCAAGAATCAAAACATAACTTTCATTTGTGCTTATACAGTTTGCTGAGTACTTTCACTTGCTCACAATACATGTACACTAGCGAGAATTTGCTCCGGTGGCTTGTTGGTTCACAGAATCGATGTGGTCTGAGTAAGCAGAATCAGAATTTTTATGTGTCCAGGAATGAAACATCCCTGGTGCTAATTGTCAATGTTCCCAAGACTCGTGATTCATGGCAACTTAATTTTGTTTCTATTAATGTACCTTAAATAAATTGCTAAGCTAACATGGGGTTTTCCAAAGTAAACCAGTGCTTTAATAACGATTTACAGTAAGTTAGAAACCAGGCGGATATCACATTAGTTAATATATTGGGTCAGTGTTATGATGACTGAGATGTGTTGAATTGCTGCTGCCTTTGTTTTGCCTATTACCAAACAGTGATTTAATTTCATTTGAGTTCTCTTGGTATCAAAATAATGGCATAACAAGATAGTAGGGAACGGTCAGCTCTGCTAAATCAGTTATAATGGTTTCTATCATTAGCCCCCCCCAAAATAATCTTCCAATGTATTTGGTAACAAAGAAAGCACACTGCTACGTGTCCACAGATACATAACTTGGCATTTTACTATGTTGATTTGTCCGCAATGTACACACCTATTTCCTTAAAATGTCTAAATCCTTGTGCTTGGTAGAAGCCTTGCATTTGGACCATACATTATCTTATGCTGCCAGGATAAAAAGAAAGACAACGAATTACATAATTTAAAAATAACTGAACCCATGACGAATATTAAAGGGACACTATAGACTCCAAAACAATTTAGCTTAATGAAGTAGTTTTGGTGTATATATTATGCAGCTGCAGTCTCACCGCTCAGTTCTCTACCATTTAGGAGTTAAATTACTTTATGGAGCCCTAGTCACACATTCCCTTCATGTGACTTACATAGCCTTCCTAAATACTTCCTGTAAAGAGTCATCTAATGTTAACATATTTACAGAAGAGTTACCTAATGTTTAACCCCTTAAGGACACATGACATGTGTGACATGTCATGATTCCCTTTTATTCCAGAAGTTTGGTCCTTAAGGGGTTAAACTTTCTCTATTGCAAATTATGTTTAATTTAGGAATTTGTATCTCCTGCTCTGCTAATAGCTTGTTAGACCCGGTGTGTAAGAAAGTTCAATTATCAGAGGAGGAGATTAAAACTTCTAAAGTAAGTTAACATCAGATTAAAAACACCATTCTGTGAGAGTCACAGCCAGGGGAGGTGTGGCAGATAATTGAGCAATGAGAATGCAGAGGCAAGGTCTATAAACCCAAACTGCTTCATTAAGTCAAAGTAGTTTTAATGCCTATAGTATCCCTTTAAGTTGTATTCTTAATAATTTGGAGAAGTTTTCTGATGCTTATCTTAAATGTATACTTTAGCAAGATCATTTGGTAAGGTTTCCACATTTCTTTAGAATTTTGAAGTTACAGTGAGTGCAAAAGGCAACTGAAACATTAAAAACAAATTAAATAAGAGTCCCATTGCGTCCAATTGCGTGTGTTATCAAGACCCTCTCGATGTGTAAAACAGTGGTTCCCAAACCAATCCTCAAGGCACCCGTTCCAGTCCAGTATTAAGGGATTACCCAGTTGTGTCTAAAGTGTTTATAGAATTTTTTAATTTTTTTTTTTAAATAAGCAAATTAGACACAACTGGGTAATCTCGAAATCCTGGACTCTTCTGCGTGCCTTGAGAACTGGCCTGGGAACCATCGGGGTAAAGGAACCTTCTTTGCTCACATTTGTATACATCTGAAAATGTAGAAAATCAAAGAGAATTTTTTGAGCTGCCATTGGGTCTATAAGTCATAAGGAACTTGCTAAAATAGAATTCGGTGTCATCTGACACTTTTATATCCGAGTATATGCAATCTGACCTACATGACACAAAGTCTACTATTTAAAAACATCCTTAGTGGTGACACAGGGAATCAATCCCAGGATGTCAGATCAGGAGTCCAAAATCAGAACGGTTCTGCTGATCCCAGAACTATTTAGAGATATACTGTTTTCTTCTCCAGCAACCTCATGGAGGGGCTAAGGATTGTTCCTCTTGTTTGTTTTTACTATACGTTAGAAAGGTTTAACACCCATTTGTTCGAAAGGTTTAATAGTTACTTTGTCAGCCTTCATTGACAACAGTCAACTATTTTTTCAATATAATAATCCTTTTTTTTTTTAATTTTAAAAGGAAATAGATTTTTTTAGATGAAGTATATATATAAATATATATTAAAAAAAAAGAAAATGGGAAAACAACTAAATAAAATCGCAAGAAACGTACTCCTCCCCTCCCTTTACTATATGACAGGATCTTTCAGCAATATACACAAACCTTGGGTCAAAAAGTGTTTGAAAAACAAGTGCACTGTTCGACCCAAACATGGCTGGAGGATCCTGTCAAAGATAGGAATGAATTTGTCTGTGTTGTTGACATATACTTCATTTAACTGAAAAAAATAAAAAAAACATTTATTTTGAAAACTTGATGAAAGTAATATTATGAAGAATAAAACAAATTAAATTAAAATAATTAAAAAATTGTTTAATGTGACAGTTAAACGTTAATGGAAATACCCTAATAAAACTGTCCTCTCCAACCACAGCTATCCAAAAATATAGACACTAATCTGTGTCTGAGTCCTTCAACTGTATATTAAAAGTCTAAAATAATTTAGAAATGTGTCCTTCTATTCATGCGGCTGTATGTTTAGTAAAATGTCGACACCCCGCTACTCTTCATTGTGGGCTCCTCTGTATTCAGGCATATGGTCACATTTCCGGCACAGGGTACTCCCTGAAGAATACGGCATTTAGGAAAGTTCATTGTATCTCAAGGTTTGGTACACAGATCCCATTCATTAAAGAGGTTATATCAGGATGAAAATTTATAAGAAAAAGCAAAACCAGCACAGGCCACACATCGTTAAATAAGCCACGTCTCACGTTTTAATACCATAATGCGGTCTGAAGACAGGATTTAACCACAGCCCAAATGTAATCTCTGACCTGAGAGCCGACTGAACTTCAGGGCTTACAATCAAAGAGTTCAGACTCTGGATATATCCGCTTTGTTTGCACTACGTGGAGATATTCCAGCTGCAAAAACGTCTGCCTAAATATTTACCATTTATCAGGACAAAAAAAAAGTACATTATCTCATGTGTTATGGGAACATTTTTTACAGAGGCCTAAAGAAAACAGCCTGCAAAGACAAAATAATTCCATGTCGGAATGCATGGAAAGAAAAATAGAAAATCAACTATTCAAAAATATATATATATAAAAAAATAAAAAATAAAAAGACATCAATTTCTCCAGTGCTACATGAGTGAGTGCTATAGGTCCAAGCTACCTAACAGTTTCAGATAACTCTTTATATAAACAGACATACAAATACATACATAAATATATATCTCTATATTATTTTTTTTCTTTCCTAAAATACCCGTTTGTGCTACAGCAAAAATGTGGTTAACTATTTGCGAGCAGTTTAATACAGAATGAGTTTCCCAGGAATCCCATAGTCCGGCCCCTACCGGAGGTATGGGTAAATCAGAGATTACACACTTCCTTCCAGCCATACAAATTCATACCAACAATGGGCACTGTGATAGGCTGAAAGCGGTCAACTTATTTTATCAGCCAGTCATCGCTGCAGGTTATTGCTTAGGTGAAAACTTCCTCATTAATCGAGGCAGCACAGAGGGGAAAGGCTGCTGCCAACGGTCTTAGCATAAAACTGTTAAAAATGGTGCTTTGCTAAATGGTTGGCCGATGGCAGGGAATTCCATACACTATAACCACTTCAATGAGTGAAGCAATTATGGTGCCTATAGTGTCCCTTTAAGGTTGTCTAAATTAAAGCTGAGCTGTGAACAGGGGTAAGCAACTGTATAGTCTGTTTCAGTTAATATCCACAAGCAGAAAGACCTGCTTCTCTAATGTTCACTCACAGAGTTTATGAGATTATCACATGCACGATATCAGAGGCACAGAAAGATCGTCTACCTTTGGTACCTCAACACGAGACAGCAGAGGACAACTTTACTGCAGGAGTCAGCGGCCCTAACTGCAGCTGGCACCTGAATAATTTGGCAAACAAGGTGTTTTTAGAGTTTCCACACTCACCAGATCTAAAAGCTGTTGGCCGATGAGCAGAGGACATTGATGTTCAGAGTTGTGTATATAGCTGCCATACTGGAACCAATTTATTATAAAGACCCCCTGCAGCATAACTGCTGTAAAATGACTGGATGTAGCACACACAGACTTTACTGGCCCCCTGGGTGACTCACCCAGCGTCTGACAGTTCCTGACAAGTGGTAATCTGTGGACTTTAGCAGTTCTTATTGCTACGTGTCACAGTACCTAGGCCATCCCGACGTCGCTCAGTCACACATATTGACGCCATGCGTCATTCCAGCAACCATATTGACATTGTGTACCATGTTTACGTTAAAATTGATGCACGGCGACAATCCTTCACCCATATTGAGGCTGTGTGTAGTTTTGAAGTCAATTATGGAGCAGAATGCATCAGACTGATCACCTCTTATACACACCTGGGGTTACATCATTTCTCAACCCCAAGAGACGCTGCATTAATCTGGTTTCATCGGCCATGCAGGATCAGGCATTGCAGACACTTATGTTCTCTACACCTTACTGGAACACTATTGGTTAGCATCAAGCTAAACTTGTAGCATCGCCCTGTCATGGTTCCTGTATAACCGAGAGTGCTTTTATTTGGTTTCTGACTCCGGCATGTTTGACTACCTCGATTTGTCCCTCGTTTTTGTGTCTCTCTGTGCTCCTTTTGACTAGTTTGTCTTATGGTTACTTTGCCTGCAGATATTCTGTAACAATGAGGATCAGTACATGATTGTGTCCATTCTCTACCTAAGTTTGCATATTAGAGTTAGACCAGCCTTGACGCTATGACGACGACAAAGGCTAAAGGAGTCACACATAAAATGGAAATAACTTTTATTAGGTGGAGATAAGAGCAAGCAGGACGGACGGGGCTACTACGGTTACAATAATCTACTTTTAAACTGTACTGAAAAACCTCACATATAGTATGGGGTCCATAGCAAAGTCGTCACGGCTGGTTTACTACTCGTCAATAGCTAGCAGACGAGTTCCAATTTTTTACCCTGTGCAAAAAAAAAAAATTAGAAAGGATCTGAAAGATAAAACTTTTAGTGAAGGGATTTCTGTGGATATCTGTAGTAAAATCCTATGTAGACTCCAACTAGAACGTGTTCTGGAAAACGAAAGCAGAAATGTGCCAGTTTCTACAGTGTCAGGCTCTTATATTGAACGTTCAGGAAATTCCCGTATCTTGACAATACAATGCGTGGGAGTAAGTTAGTTAAATATATAGGCACTTTTTCACACACCTCCTGTAGCCAGGCTGGACTGGGTTAATTAAGTTGTAGGAGATGCAGTTTCATTAAAGAGGATGAAATTGTACACCATGGGACCGACAGATCAGCCTCACGCAAAGGTTTT